ACATACATACATACATACATATGTCCGTGTATGTATCACAGAAGTATATGACTGCAAGATAACAAAACACAACATACTTGCAACAGAAGTAGCAGGAGATGGCGCAATTCAACAGCAGGTAACACAATGTTGTATGACATGACTTGACAAAGTACAACAAAATAACATGATAACGCAGAACACCATAGAATACACCTTAACAGAGCAGTGTACGGTATAATATGGTATAGAAATCAATTACAACTTAGTACAATAGAGTATAACTGCTATATTTCAAAATCATAAATAAAGCAATGCAGCAAGATGCTAAGATGCTGCCGAAATATCAGTAGCATGGCGCAAGATAGGGAAACGTAGTATTCAATATATTACAATACAGCGAATACTACACGAAAAAAAGTATTAGCGCGATGGTTCAATTTGTCAATATAACATACAACAGTATGATACAACATGCTACAGTGTATTACATGTAAGTATGAGATTGTAACAGGCAATACGGGATATTACCCATATTTTCATATGTATGACACTTAATGTATTTCATATATATATATATAAGACAACATGGGATGAGGCAAAATACGGTAAGCTAGTCTAGAACAATACCGCGAAAGACACTGCACTGCAATGAACAATAGTATGTTAAACTGTAATATAAAAGAAACGTAGTCTTAATACCATACGATATTATGCTACACTATACTGGGCTACACACTGTCTACTCGTTTAACAGTATATATGCAATCTAGTATGTTGTCATATATTGTGATGCATTAACATTGGAAAAAGAAAAGCAACACAACATAATCTGAACTAGTATCACACTATACTACGTAATCTAACTTAATGTAAGAAGGTGCGATGGCCAAAACATAGTATAGTATACTTCGATATAGCATATTATTACAATATCACGTAGACAGGACCTTCTGATTGAATGGTATTCGCCCGTGATGTTTATTGATATTTCGTGGGTTTGCTGTGGGGGGAGACCTTGAAGCATGCACCAACAGTTCTGTATGGCAACTTGACTCTGTTTTTTAGTCTGCGCATCACTCTTTAGGCACTGACGCAAATCATGACCATCAACCCGTATAGCTTATTTGACCGTTCACCTTGGCATGCAGGGATGTGCCTAATGACCTACTCCTTTGAAAATCTTCTTTACCCCAGGTGCACTCGCGTCAAAACGAAGCTGCCGCAGAAAGTTCAACAAGAGCTTTGGGATCTCCTTTCGTGGAGGACTGTGGCTGCAATTTCACAGCATGTCAGCAAACTGCACTTCGAATAGTCAGAGTCCATTATTGACGTAGCACCACTTGCTTGGGGTTTTGGAGTGTGGCGCGTATGTATTTTGCAGCTTCGGAATTGTGAGCTTCCCTTGTTGGAGGAATCCCCTGCAGATGTTGAAGAAAGACTTCGTGGCAGGCTGGCATGTCCACGCATCTTGTCAGATCTTAACGTGCCCCATATGGCAATTCGCAACACGCATCTGAGAGCCTCGGTTTCAGGAAACCGTTTTACTGCACGGAAGACCGATGCCATGATGGAATCGTAGTAGAGCTCTGCAAGGATTCTTACAAAGGACACTCCAGTGCGTGATTTCGGTGACCGCTTCCCATGTTGCAATCTCCTGACATCCCTTCCCACTCAGAATCCAGGGCAGACTGGGGTTCAAGTCGACTTGGGCCTGAGGTTTAAGAACAAGGGTCGCATTGTCTTCAGCATCTGGTTCCGAAGCGGTTAGCATGCAAACGAACGCCGTGCCTTGGAGCATAGAAAGCCGGCTTGCACTGAACTAATCTGCCATAAAGGCGTGTCATCGCTTTGACATCACTTGCAATGGACTCAGGTTCAGAGTAACTCCAGAGAAAGTTCGACTAGCATTATTGCCAACTGCACTCGGTGTAGCAGCTTGCAGCCTTTGCAGCAGCTTGATCCTGGGTTGAACTCCCAGCAGTTCTTGGGATGAGGTCGGAGGCTTTCGTTCTTAGACAGGTGAAGTAGCAGACGCGTGTCGCTTCCAGAACCGAGTCTGACCTGCTGTCCCACCATTGCTGCCAGCTCTGGGTTCAGGGCAGTTTCAGGGCTCTCAGGTTGAGGGTGCGGCCTTTGGAATTTGTGGCCCAGGGCTTTGAAGCTTGTGTTTTAAACACAGACCCGCAGAACCTTGGGCCCTGGGCCGAGGACTTGGAAGTGCAGGACGTGCACGTGCGGTGCTTGATGCAGGTCTTGAAGCCTGCGCCCCGGTGGACATCTCCTGCTTGCTATGACGGCCCTGACTCCTGGTCTGCTGCCGTCTGTGTGCTCACACTGTACTGTTGAAGTTTGGTGGTGTCGTTGCCAAATTTAGTTGGTTTATGTGAAACTAACGCCACGATGTTGCCTGGTCCGTTCATTGTTGTCGTTGTAGTTGTGTGCCTGTGGTGGTGGTTGTTGTTGTTGGTGGTGGGGTGGTGGTGGCCGTGAATTTCGGCGTCTTATGAGCCACTTCACGAGCCATTTTTTCGAAGACTCTTGATGCTTCTCCCCGTTGACATGATGATGCTCCGGATGACGGTGCGTGTGATGCGCACCCAGCCTGTTGATGATGATGGTGATGTTCCGATGGACCGCAGACTTAAAGAAGGAAGCGGCCACATGTGACAGAGACGTGACGTTGGCTATGAAGGTGTTGTTGTTGTTGTTGTTGTTGTTGTTGTTGGTTGTTGGTTGTTGGTTATTGGTTGTTGGTTGTTGGTTGTTGGTCGTTGGTTGTTGGTTGT